ATTAGTCCCAACCAATGGATGACCACTACTGTTCATGCTTAGATGATAATAGTAGTATAAGGGAGTTTTCGCAAGATTACGAAAAATGATAACGAATACGGAGATGTCATTAAATTTTAAGACAACTCTTTCCTTACAGTAGCGTATCTGTTACAACGTAGGCCATCCATTCATTTTACATGAATCAACGATCATACTCAGCTCATGTATTTTCAAGACTGCTTTGATGATAAATGATGATGTCGCATCATTCGTATTATCGTTTTCGTAAGGTTGTGAAATCCCCCCTAATGTCGATTTCGTAATCCCTGCTTGCACTGTTTAAAGCCTGAATATTTGTCAGGCTTCAGTGTAAGAATTTCATGGCTTACAAAAAAGCATCTTTTATAATCTATAAATTGTGACTGTTTTGTCAAAAACATCAGGTCTCTTAATAACTACATAGGAAAAGACATACATACTATAAGCCCACAGTCCGTAGTAAAATCAGTAAAATCTACAAAACCCATCAAATTAAATTAAAAATAAAACACAGATGGCTGTTTTACATGGAATAAAGTTCTTAATTTTCATTAGGACAGATAAAGAAGTTTTTGGTAATATACTTAAATCCTTGTTTCCCGCCAATTAAAGGGTTTATGTAAAGATTGCAAGAAATGGTAATATCTGCGTTGCTGATAATCGGTGGAGACATTTCTTTCTTGTTTAAGATTAAACTGAATGCTACTCGGTGGTGGATAATGTTTCCTATTTCAAATACTGGGATCCGTCACTGCTACTAGCTTCTTAAAATTAAGAATTTTCAATACCGCAAAATCTCGAATCCGGGGCTTAATCTAGAGAAAAGAAAAGCATGAGCTTCTAATGAAGATAGTATGGTCTACTTTCTGAGAAAGTACTATTCAGGCTGAAATTATATCTTTGATGACTATGATCATGATAACCTGTCAGTATCAATATTATAATTTATTGTACTAGCATAGTTGAAAAATATCGTATAGTAGCAATTTCAAATATTTACAGCATTCATTTTCAAATGGAGCCCACATCTTTAGTTTGCAAATGTAATCTCAAAAAGAAACTCTTCTCGAAAAGAAGCCCATCTCAAAGGTCTTAATTAAAGAAGCCCCGGGCTTCTATTCCAGCTTTTACGGTATTAATTTTTGCATAAGGTTAAAATTAACAGTATGTTATTAAACAGCAACAAAGCTTAGACACGATGAGTGCAAACTGATCATATAATAAATGTATTGATTTCTGGTAAATAACAAGTCATGCAGTCCCCATCTTGGAGTTTATTTACAATTTTAAATATCAAAAACATCTACAAATTCAAAGTATTTATTACAGTATAAAAATTATACTAATGTACATGAAACTTGATTCCTATTTTATACAGTTATATATCTTTGCTGGTTTCAGATGCACAGAATAATAACTCAAATTTTTTAAGCGTACTAATGAGCTAATTCTATGTATATGTCTGAATAAGCACACTATAAAATATTATAAATAATTAATATCATATCATACTTTTAAAAATCACAAGCTTGTGTCATCTTCTAGTGGGAAGAAGACACATCAAATGTGTTCATTATGCACACGGGCTAAGAACTGACAGCAGTTAATATTTCACTGAATTTTTTGTATTAAGTGCAGTCATTTTAACAATGACATACACAAACTGTATGTACACATGATGTTATAAACAATGGCCCATTAGGAGTGGAGTTGTATATAGGTCACAAGAAAAAAATCTCGTCATTTGATGATTTAAACAACCATACTACAGGTCCAATACATGTATTTAACGATAATGTATTATTATGTATATTTCCCTGTTCTTGCTTATTAAATTTGGATATTTCATGCACCATGACATATTTTGACAAGGGCGGGGGTTCACATCTCCTGAAAAAAGTTGTTCCCCTGCTCCCAGCCGCCCCATTAAAAATGTTTGAAGTAAAAAAATCACAAATAAAAAGTACCTCATATCACCCTATTTTGCGAGCTAGCTCACCCTCACTTATTATTTGAGACCCCGACTTCACCTTCGAGCACTCATCAGCCCCCCACCCCCCATTTCAAGACTCTATAGTTATGCCACTGTTCATGCAGCTACCAAGGAAAAATCTGCAGTCTATATTTTGGTCGTCTGATTGCTAGCACCACAGTAATACTTCCGATGAGCAATGAATGTTGACAGATTGTTAAAATGAAGGTCACAAGTGCGACAAAGTTTTGCATTACTTTTGTTACTTTTCTTAATCAAAGATTTCATTGAATCTTCATCTCCAGCACCATTTGTTTCTAACCTTTCATGCTCACTGGCTGCATCCAACTCCGTATTTTGTGTATTTAAACTGTTTGATGATACATCTGCAGTTATTGTTGAATCTTTCTTCCATGTATTTCCTCTATCGCAATTATCTTCCCATTCCCCTGTCGTATTTGACTCTGTTGGGCTCTCTGGAGCTTCCGGGGATATAGAATTTGATTTAGTAAATTCCAAAGACTCATCATTATTTTGGTCTGTACCACTGGATTGAACATCAACCACCTTATGCGAGCAGTTAATGATGTTAACAGAATCATTGTCTGGATTAGTTGTAACTGTTGTTATGACAGACTGTCGATTTGGTGTATGTCCAAGCAGACTTGTGGTGACTGAATGCTCGCCAAATGTTTCGGTGTCCTTTTCAATCTTAACTGCAAGGCCATCAAGTCTGGCCTGTTTGGCGTGCAGTGCATGTGGTGTTGTTGATTTCCGTCGTTTTGCGCCTTCACGCGCCGTTCTTGCAGGTTCTGATGTACCAGCATTTACTTGAGCTTGAGTGACTTCTGGAAAACTATTTGAACTTGCAGAGTCGAGAAGCAAACCGGGATGATCCTTAAAATGCTCTTGAAGCTGATTCAGATTACTGCCAACATATGGACAAGCAGGACACACACATGACACACATTTATGATCCTTAAAGTCTGCAAAACTGCCAAATGTGTTCTGACAGATATTGCAGACAAATGACTCCTTCTGACTTTTCTTATCATTGTCCTCATTCTGAGAAGTGGGTTGCTCAATAGTTGTATGAATTGCTAGAGAGCTTGACACCATGTTTCTATATGAACAATAATTCTCTTTGTGTGCCACATAGATATCATAGTTCCTGAACACGGCTCCACAAACACAGTATATCTTTCGCTGCCCACGTGTTGACAAATTACTCTGTAGATCTTTGGAGGTAACCATTGTGTCATGATAAGGAGTTGTGTGATATCGCATCACCAAGTTGCCTGGTGGTCTACTATCTGCAAAAGTACTTGCAGAGATCATTGTTGAAACAGATAGTTGAGCAGCTCCAGGTTGTGATGATGTTGGGGTTGTCGCATTTCCAGGAGAGCCCTTATCTGCTTGTCTGGGACTAGAAAGATTTCTTCCATGTTCTACTCTTATTCCACTAAATGCAGAGGAAGATGGTTGTGATATTCTACTTGGGGGTGATGGACTACGAGCTTCACTTTCTCCATTTGATGGTAAACTTTTAGAGAATGATGTTTGCAAATCCATCTGGATTGAATCTGGTGACATCTTCCCTGGTGAACTACATAAATCATCTTTTTCCAGTATTGCTGCTGGAGAAACTGGAGACTTTGATGTACTCCTACTTAAAGAACCGTTCTTAGAGGAATTTCTTAGCGGTGATGGTCTTTGTGGTGACGGTTGATGACGTGTTGCACAGTAGTATTGTTTGTGAACTTTCAATGACTCTTGCTTGTGGAATAGTATATCACATTCAATACATTTATAACCAAGCACTATTGCCCTTGGAATTTGCACATTAAGACTTGTTGGTCTTACTAATGGCACTTCGGAATCAGAAACCTGGCTACTAGATGGTGGGCTCTTTCGAACACTTAAATCAAGGGGTTTTTCTTGTGAAGCTGCATTGTTTTTGATTTGTTTATCAGTCAACATGTGGAGATCGGAATCTGAAGAGTCTCTTGAAGTTGGTCTTGATAAGCATAGCATAGGCATGGCATTTCCACATTGCTCAATCGAGATTGATGCAGATCTTGCAGGTATTTCACTTTCTGGTGAGTGTTCCTGGTGAGGTGAAGAATCTGTTGGATTGTCCATTTTTGACCTCTTCTGAAGAGGCTCATCATCACTCAGGGCAGCACCTCTTTGCCTTTTCTGTAGCTTGGCAATGTATAAATCATTTGCAAATTGGCGATTAGCACAATAGTATGTTTTATGAGCTGAGAAATTTCTGATGGACTTAAAGGTGATGTTGCATGCAGTACAAGATAGCACATTTTGCTGTGGAACGCTTGCTTCTCTTTTTATGGTGGTAGTGACATCATCTACCGAAAGCAATACTGTTGCCTTTGTGTCATCAATACTAATTTCTTTTTTGGTCTTTTTAACAGTGTCATTCTTATTACATTCATGTTGGTCAAAGATCAATTGAAGATGTGTTTTAAATGAACAATTTTCACATTGATATAAATTATCTCCTTCGCTTGAAGAGCAACAATCAGTGTCCACTGATGTTGGTTTCAAATGTTCATGTACTGAGTTTGAACTGCATACATCAGATGACGTAACTGTCTGGACCCCTTGCGTACTATTGATCACCTCAGGCTGTGAATCAATCTCTTTCTTGACTTTACATTTCATTTTATCATCATTAACAACCTTCAACTCGTGAGTTGTTTCAATTGTTTTGGAAGAAGTGCAACCATTGTTTTCGTAGACAAGTACATGTTGCTGGAACATATGAGCTATCAAGCTTTGCATATTACTGGCAATATAGGTACAGAATTTACAAAGATTAGATTCAGTCTCACCATGCAACTTGATCATGTGCGTTTCACAATTGCTATGGTTACTGAATGTAGATCGACAGAGCTGACAGACGAACTCTTGGGCGTCACTATTCTTGTTTGTCTTTTGCAGCGCCTCCGTATCTGATGATGAAACATCAACTTTTTGACAATAGTGTTGAACATGCACTTGTAGATTAGCTGGATTGCGGAACTGAATGTGGCAAAACTGGCAAATGCAGATCTTTTTTAAAGGCACTGCAAGAGGAAAAAAAAAATTAAATTAATAATAATAATAATTATTATTATTATTAATATATATTATTTATAATTATAATAAATATAAATATTTCAAAATAATAAAAATAACACAATAAAAATAATAATATTAATAATAACAATAACAATACTGTCATAATAATAATATTAATAATAATAATAATAATAATAATAATAATAATAATAATAATAATAATAATAATAATAATAATAATAATAAAAACATCAAACATCTTGCCTACTGTAAGGATAACAAAAGTGGATAGATACAACCACAAGGCAAAGAAGTGGATCCAGCTATGGTTGGGAAAAATTTATTGTTGTACATACACTTGATAAGAAGAAATTACAAAATGCTGGATTAGCTACTCTATTGTGGGAATAATTCACATGATTTTGCAATTGTCCTCACAAACTTAACGTTGAGGTTGTAATAATAAATATCAAAAATATTTTAAAATAATAATAATAATAATAATAATAACTACACTTACTATGCCTGTTTGAACAACAGAACATAGGGCTTTTCCCTTTGCTTTATAATGAGAAATGAAGTTGAAATTGCAAAAAAAAAAGAAAAGTCATTAAAAGGTATAAAGTAAAAAACCGGAAAACTAATATAATTTTAATGAAGTGGAAAAAAATGAAGTGGAAAAAAAAAACATGAAAACCACTGCGACGTTATTAGTGAGACTTAAACTATGGCTGCAATGGCAATAGCGAAGTACATCGTGACTCATAACCATTGCGCACTATATGAGCCCTACTTGCCTAGGAAAGTGCATTTTCAGTTCATTTCCGAATGTTTCAGTCAGATCAGTTGATCCGTTTTCGAACTATGTGACCTTTCGGGCAGTTTGACCTTAAATCACTTTAATTGGTCCTCATACACACACCCCACCATAGATTGACAATAAATATTACAAGGGCCGTTCTTGATATATGGCCTATGCTTCTACAAAACACAGAAAAATTTTAAGCATAAGAAGTGACCAAAATTGACGGCCAGAAAAAAAAACGTTACAAAAACATATAAAAGAAAAAAGGAAAAAAAATTAGAACAAAAACAATGGCTTTCTCCAGTACTGCTGGAAAAAGCCAATAATAATAATAATAACAATAACAATAATAATAATAATAATAATAATAATAATAATAATAATAATTAATCATAATTTTTATCCGGATCAGGCATTATAATTATAATGTACAATATGATTGTCTTATTAAAATGCATTGAAATGAAATGTTCCCATCATAGGGCCTAGACTTCCTTACAATACAATCAGAAACAGAAAAGTTAAATCATTAATGTCAATAGCATATGTTAAACGGGGTGCACCAAAAATATTATGGCATGAATCAAGCAGATCAATTTCTGTTGTTTTTACTGAAGGACTATATAGTAACGATGTTTTTTCGGCAAGAATGGAACGATCCAAGGCTGACGTTTAACGACACTGATGAGATTACGTTGAAGGGAGATGATGCACACAAAGTATGGGTACCAGATGTATTTTTCCCCCGTGAAAAAAACTCTCGTCTACACGATGCCACTATTTCAAACCGGGTCATTTGGATTCAGCCGTCTGGCCACGTTATGTTGAGCATGAGGTAATTTTAAATATACAAATTATATTCATTTATTACCGCACGAAATTTTGGTTAGTGTTTATCTCTTACACACATACAATTCTTCCTTCTGAACGCTTACAATTTCACATTAGGCCTATAAGCATTTTCAAGAAACGGTTTAGACTTTAGGGGTATTTACATCCACCACGACTCACATTGAAAATTATCTCTTCGGAGATCCTGTATCACAGTGATACCTGTTAAAAGGTATAAAGTAAAAAAAAACCGGAAAACCAATTTAATTTTAATGAAGTGGAAAAAAATGAAGTGGAAAAAAAAACATGAAAACCACTGCGACGTTATTAGTGAGACTTAAACTATGGCTGCAATGGTAATAGCGAAGTACATCGTGACTCATAACCATTGCGCACTATATGAGCCCTAATTGCATAGGAAAGTGCACTTTCAGTTCATTTCCGAATGTTTCAGTCAGATCAGTTGATCCGTTTTCGAACTATGTGACCTTTCGGACAGTTTGACCTTAAATCACTTTAATTGGTCCTCATACACACACCCCACCATAGATTGACAATAAATATTACGAGGGCCGTTCTTGATATATGGCCTATGCTTCTACAAAACACAGAAAAATTTAAAGCATAAGAAGTGACCAAAATTGACGGCCAGAAAAAAAAAACAGTACAAAAACATATACAAGAAAAAAGGAAAAAAAATTATAACAAAAACAATGGCTTTCTCCACTACTGCTGGAAAAAGCCAATAATAATAATAATAATAATAATAATAATAATAATAATAATAATAACAATAATAATAATAATAAATATATAATAATAATAACAATAATAATAATTTCATTAAATTGGACTTAGGGGAATATCATTTGTGTTATTTTCCCCTTAACATCATTTTTTCAATTGTTTTTAAATTGCTCCATTGTCTAAGTTCCCCTTAAAGTAGGATTTAGTAACATAATAATAATAATAATAATAATAATAATAATAATAATAATAATAATAATAATACATTACAATACAAAATGCTAGTGCACAAGGACTTCTTTTGTGGGAGTACTTTGCATGATTTTTGCAATTTGTCTATTATCAAATAATTTCCCATGCAGCTGCATATGTGTTTCAGTGACCAGGCCAATAATGACCCGAGGCTTTAATAATATGAGCTATATAAAGACGGATACAGTTTTGTGATGGCAAGGTCTCTATTCCCTTCGCAGTATTCCCTGATCATTGAAAAAAATTCCCATGAAAAACACACTTCAAAATTTGCAGCTAATTTGCAGCAAATTGGAATTCATCATAGTTAGTGACTACACTACACTATTACTGTACACCTGAGTAGAAAGACAACATGAATACTATGCCTTGCCTAGGACCCAAGTGAAATGGGAGATTTTGTCATGCACAATAAATAGAAAAATAATAGCCGAAGTAAGTTGATAGTACAGATGTAAAGATACCATATTACAGCTGCTTGGCAACCATAAAGGCAGCTGGGTAATAATACAGCAAATTACATGGCAGGTGCTCTGATCCCTCCCTGTACTGTTTTCGTTTTACAGCTGTGAAAATGGAATTTTCCAAATGAAGGCACTTAAAAATACAAAGAATGCGAAGTGTACTCAGATGATAATATTTATCGGTCACCTGAGCTTGTATATTATCAATGCAATCATCACCACGGACAGTTCTCTAGGTCATCATCATCATCACCCTATTAATATTATACTGACCATCATCATCACTGACAGAAATATGTTTACCACTACTGTTATCTCTGTCATCACCATCACGACCGCTACCAGCCTCATCATCACCAAAAATTTGTTTTTGGTTTTTTTTTTGGGGGGGAGGGGAGGGAAAGGGGGTAGGATTTTCACAGATAGACAGATAGAATATCCACCCACTTCAACTCCACCATTTTGGAGCAAGGAAGGAAATTTTATGATTATGAGAAGATTCAATCAACTAAAGTATACTTTTAAGATAACAATGATGATAAGAAAGGATTTGCAGTAGGTACAACTATTTTATAGCAATTGGATAACTATTTCAGGGACTCCATGGTTTATGCAGTGTTGGCAGTGTTGGGAGAGCTGGCCTCCCATACTGTAGAGGAGGAAAAAAAAACACAATTTGTTGGGGAGAAAAACAAACAAAATGTAATTAAAGTTGATTAAATAAGCCATTCAAATCATTTTGGTGTTTACTGGATCCTGGAGTCCCCTTTCAGGGCTTCTTTTCTGATTATGAAAATTAATAAATCATACTGTTGCTTTCATTTTAACTTGAATAGAAAGACAGGCAATTAATATTCCTTTATTAAAAAACTGTTAACTTAAAGGTGATCTAATTGATTATTTCAATGACTGAAATGCTTAAATAACATTATTGCTGCGAAGCAGCCAATTCATATTCTTGACAGCAATTTGACCTCTGAAAGGTCATTGTTTGTCAAAAAACGAGTGCCTAAGACGAATGAAAAGCGGAGTTTCCTTCTTTCGTTCTGCCGGGTAAAATCAATTACTTTAGGCGACGTTTGTAGACTAACCTACTCGTAACAACGTCCGCTTGTCGCGACACTGGAGTATTACTACTCAGCGTTTTTACTATATTTCTAGGTTTCCTATTTCTACGTTTAATCGGCCCATGTCTCAGCCACAATATTTTGAGAACTTTACAGCTGTGAAAAGGGAATTTTCCAAATGAAGGCACTTAAAAATACAAAGAATGCGAAGTGTACTCAGATGATAATATTTATCGGTCACCTGAGCTTGTATATTATCAATGCAATCATCACCACGGACAGTTCTCTAGGTCATCATCATCATCACCCTATTAATATTATACTGACCATCATCATCACTGACAGAAATATGTTTACCACTACTGTTATCTCTGTCATCACCATCACGACCGCTACCAGCCTCATCATCACCAAAAATTTGTTTTTGGTTTTTTTTTTGGGGGGGAGGGGAGGGAAAGGGGGTAGGATTTTCACAGATAGACAGATAGAATATCCACCCACTTCAACTCCACCATTTTGGAGCAAGGAAGGAAATTTTATGATTATGAGAAGATTCAATCAACTAAAGTATACTTTTAAGATAACAATGATGATAAGAAAGGATTTGCAGTAGGTACAACTATTTTATAGCAATTGGATAACTATTTCAGGGACTCCATGGTTTATGCAGTGTTGGCAGTGTTGGGAGAGCTGGCCTCCCATACTGTAGAGGAGGAAAAAAAAACACAATTTGTTGGGGAGAAAAACAAACAAAATGTAATTAAAGTTGATTAAATAAGCCATTCAAATCATTTTGGTGTTTACTGGATCCTGGAGTCCCCTTTCAGGGCTTCTTTTCTGATTATGAAAATTAATAAATCATACTGTTGCTTTCATTTTAACTTGAATAGAAAGACAGGCAATTAATATTCCTTTATTAAAAAACTGTTAACTTAAAGGTGATCTAATTGATTATTTCAATGACTGAAATGCTTAAATGACATTATTGCTGCGAAGCAGACAATTCATATTCTTGACAGCAATTTGACCTCTGAAAGGTTATTGTTTGTCAAAAAACGAGTGCCTAAGACGAATGAAAAGCGGAGTTTCCTTCTTTCGTTATGCCGGGTAAAATCAATTATTTTAGGCGACGTTTGTAGACTAACCTACTAGTACCAACGTCCGCATGTCGAGCTAGCCTTATCCTACTCTAGGCCTAGACTAGCTAGGATGGTATAGGCCTAGCCTTGAAGGGACGAAGGTCCCAATGAAAAACAATGTCGCTCTTTGATAGCTAACATTGTCTATTTAACATCACAATAATTCATTATTAGACCTATAGTTGCTTTTTGAATTGTACTCCACAAATCTCAGCCGATACCTCGCACAACTGGCTAACGTCTCCATCTATTGTCGTGACGTCATGGCTCGCTGGCTCACACTTGTGATATGTCTCGCACTTGTGATCAAATAACACGCTGGCACGGACATTGGCAACATTCTTTGGCAGTCAACTCGCCCCTAGAAAACCCGCCCTTGGAAACTTGCCCCATAAAAAAATGTACACTTCCTAGACCATGCAGTCTTCAAAATAAAAATTGTAACCTTTGGTAATCAACTACATTTTCCACATACATAGACATTTTTGAAACTGTATTAAAAAAAACCTAAACCATAATTCACCACACTATAGACACTTTTTGACAAAAATGAAAAATTACGACTTTGTCACCCAATGAGAAGTGTTCTAATATAGACAATGGGTCGTGTCTCATGTTATTTGTTATAGTTTTATTATTCATTATTTTCACTTGACTCGCATACATAATTTTGTTCGAAGAACATTTATATGCAGTTGTACTTCGCAGCACTTCACTTGCAATTTGCAATTTCTAGTAGATATAAATATACTGTAATACAGAGGATATGGATGCTTTAGAAGTAGAGAATGAAATCTTTAACTATACAATTTGTGTAAAAAAAAACAAAGATTAATTAACATCTACCAGAATGACAATCGATACCGCATGTCTAAACAACTTAAGTACAGTGCTATTACCACGTAATTGATTCATGGTATGAAAGTCAATAGTGAATTCATTGCATTCTTTAATATACAGTATTGAATCACAATGTTATCATTATTGTCCACATACTTGAAATGTTAATGTTAATAACACTGTGAACAAGATACAAATCATCTACAACAGAATTTGGCTAGCATCCCAATGCAGTCGTCGTAAAGTAGCCTACGAATATCGTCCATTAAAAGTATTGTTTACTCTGGCTTTGTACCCTGTCACTATATTCATTACACTTCCCTCCAGAAACAACAGATCTTAAAATAAAGAATAACATTCTCACTCTGAATACAGGTCACTATATTTGACTTATTAAATCTAGCAACATACTTTTACAAATGGCTTTAGTGAATGAGTGGCTCTAATTGACAAGGAGCTAGATTTGCGGTACATGTGTTCATTAGAATTACACCACTACAACTGACATATCTAGTCTTGAAATTGGGGAGAGGGGTGTTGGGGGGGAGAACGATAGTGAAGTGGGAGCTCTGACGATTTAGTAAGGGGCGCTAGGTTATTTTTTACTACTTGAACATGATGTTTTTGCTTTGGACAGTTTAGAAAGGGGGAGGGCTGACTTTAAATAAGCGATTCATGGTTTCAGTTAAAGTATTTTCAAATTTGTTGTTGTTAATAGTCAGGCACTCTATTTTGCTACTAAATTTTAAAATTCAATGCATATATGAGGCATGTCGTGGCAAAATGGTTAAGTTTTCGCACAGGCCAATATTGAGTAAATGAGCTATAACATGACAGATAAAAAAAGGACCTAAAGAACTTTTCCCCCTATAGATCAAAGTTTAATGTCTAATTAATCATGTTCCAAAATTCTTTTTCTGACAATGGTCAACAAATCATTTATTTAATGTTATTTTGGTAGTTGATAAACAATGTATGCACAAATAACTTTGGATGGCAATAATACTCAAAAAAAATATTTATCTTGACTCTAAGAGTGCTGTACTTTCACTTTCCCAATAACTAAGGCTTGATATGTCCAAATTCAATGAATGACTCCTCAATTTAAAGTTTACATACTCAGATATTTGAGAAAAAAAAAACCAATAACTTGAATTCCAATTTTTGCTACAACTTAGCATTTTGCCACAACATGCCTCATGTTGAAATTAGCGCTACTCATTTATCGATTCTAAACATGTTGTTACCCCTCGTTTTAAAAACGCTGGATCCGCCTCGATAGTACAGTACATCTATTTATAATAAAGAAAACAAACCTTTGGAAGCATCATTGTTTGTATGCATATTTGTTGATTCAGATTCGTATATAGCAGTCAACGGCTGGCCTTCCTCAATGTCAGTAACTGCTTTGCACCATAACCACTTATCTATAAAAGATAAAAAGAAACCACAATCTTTTCAAATAACATAACCACTGAAAGATTCAAAACAGTCTTTGAATAATGCCATGTTAATTCTTATAAGTCTGGTTCTCACGAGAGCCCTAGTATCCGGATTGGGAGCTAACCGTTAGCGCTAACCGTCACCACCTGCGTGAGAACGCCCGATCGGTTAGCACTAACCGTTAGCGGTATCCGGATACGCTAACGGTTAGCAAGCGTTATCGGTTAGCAAGTTAAAGGCGTTTCTATCATCAACCAATCACACATACGCATTTACAATTTCCAGTTTCTTATTGGCCAGTAATTCGATCATCATATTGTTGATATCCGGATCGGGATTCTCTCGCATGGACACACAGCAGTTAAAGGTTAGCAGGATCCGGATCCTGCTAACCATTAGCTGCCATGTGAGAACATAGCCATTCAATTTTTAAAAACGTTTAATTTGTGTAATTCAAAGTTTTTCTAAAAATGTCTGTCTTAATTATTAATAACAGACTATTAAGAATATAATTCTTAATAGAGAAAAGGCACATAATTCCTATGCGCTCCCCATGTGGCAGACCTCAGGGCTCCACACCCGTAGGGGTCCAAAGGGAGGGTCTGCAACAACCCCATAGGTACACAAGGGGATTCGACCCATAGAGGCCCAACACGTTTTTCAAATTCTGTAACACTCTTATTCTTATTGATAATATCAAATTTTAAATAAGTAAAAATGGGAAAATATATATAATTAGTAAACAAACTAATAATTGTGTGTTTACACAAGGTACAGTATTCATATGTGATGAATCTGACATATCGTGCCCATCTCGTTTCTGTGACCTTTGCGAGTAAGGCATACCCTAAATAGAAACTGATTTATAACGACAAACAAGTACAATGATGCAATGCAATTATACACTATTCGGAAAAGAGCAGGGGATTGTCTCCAGGTGTACTGCCAAATCACCACCAGAAGGATCCCACTGGAAATAGTCGTCTTCAGACTTTCGTGGGATATCCTTGGTGTTTACACCGAATAAATCCATCCATCCAATATTATAGTTTGCCATCTAGATAGATATTTTTACTTTTCTATCCTCGTGATGTTTAAATTGTTTGTGATTGTGATTCTATTGTTAATAAGGATGCTGTGTTTGGCCCGAGAGAATAATATCAGACCTACGAAGGTTATAATAAACAGAGAATAAAATTTGAGTCAAATAACAAAAATCTACGTTAATTATAAAAATCAACTTCTATGTAGCGGTTACCGTACTTTAGGTTGCAAATGGTGAAGGTCTTCAAATTTAGTCATCTGTTAAATTTGCTGTGTTGATGCAGTTAACAAATGCTTTTATAGAAAAAAAAAATTACAAGGCAGAACACTGTTGTACACAGGTTATATTCTATACTGCAGTTTAATGTATTTCAACTTGGTATAACACATAAACTTACTGTAGAAGGAGAAAGTGTGAAGTCACTTTCTCTCTAACGAGTACAGACGGGCTCCCAGTGGGAACGTGCGCCTGCTGCTTTAACTGCAATTTTTGTATTTTTAGGAATTTACAGAGTGATATCGTTAGCGGTATCCGGATACGCTAACGGTTAGCAAGCGCTATTGGTTAGCAAGTTAAAGGCGTTTCTATCATCAACCAATCACACAGTTTCCTATTGGCCAGTGATTCGATCATCATATTGTTGGTATCCAGATCGGGATTTTCTCGCATGGACGCACAGCAGCTAACGGTTAGCAGGATCCGGATCCTGCTAACCGTTAGCTGCCATGTGAGAACATAGCCATTAAATTTTTTAAAATTCAAAATAAATAATTCAAAGTTTTTCTAAAAATGTCTATCTTAATTATTAATAACAGACTATTAAGAACATAATTCTTAATAGAGAAAAGGCACATAATTCCTATGCGCTCCCCATGTGATGTTTAAATTGTTATCCATATTGTCAACCGATTCAACACAGCAAATAAATCAGACAACTCATTTGCTTTGTTGGGAAAGTACGGTAACCGTGAAGAATAAGTTATTTTCTCATCAGGTTAAATTCTATTGTTAATAAGGATGCTGTGTTTGGCCCGAGAGAATAATATCAGACCTACGAAGGTTATAATAAACAGAGAATAAAATTTGAGTCAAATAACAAAAATCTACGTTAATTATAAAAATCAACTTCTATGTAGTGGTTACCGTACTTTAGGTTGCAAGTGGTGAAGGTCTTCAAATTTAGTCATCTGTTAAATTTGCTGTGCTGATGCAGTTTAACAGATGCTTTTATAGAAAAAAAAAATTACAAGGCAGAACACTGTTGTACACAGGTTATATTCTATACTGCAGTTTAATGTATTTCAACTTGGTATAACACATAAACTTACAGTAGAAGGAGAAAGTGTGAAGTCACTTTCTCTCTAACGAGTACAGACGGGCTCCCAGTGGGAACGTGCGCCTGCTGCTTTAACTGCGATTTTTGTATTTTTAGGAATTTACAGAGTGATATTGTTCCCATTTAAGGGTGTCGTTACGGCCTTGCATCATCAAATGTGAGTGATGTTATGAATTGGGTCGTATAACTTATCTACATATAGGTTCTGATGTGATATAAGTGACAGAATGCTCCCAATGCCAACTGCCACAAAGCTCTCTTTGGTAATTGAGGGTATCCAAAGTAACAGGATCTTGGTTAGTTTCTTACAATAATGTACATAATGGCAGAACAGTGTCTCTGTTCTCGAGAAGCCAGTAGACACAAAAGACATTTAATATTTTCATTTCTTTAAAATGTATTTTTTTTTTTTTTTTTGCAGGGACAAGTAAAAATTGGTTAGGATTAAAACAGAAATGAAAGCTACTTTTTTAGAAGAGAGAGATAAAAAAGTAAAAGTTGTAGGATTCTCCCAGAAATCAGAAAAGCCACCCACACTCCCGCAAACAAGCGAGAATCTCCTGAAAGACAATCCATCTCCGGCAAATTCACGATATTTGCATGATTTTTACTAAAATGTAAAATTGTCTCCCCAACGTTAGGGCTGATACTGTAGGTATCACCATGCATGGCAAAATAAAATTAGACGTGTTAAAAAAGCTCATTTAAACAGAATTCCCAGAAGTGAATTATATTTTTAATTAAAAAATGTATAATAGTCAATGTGACATTACATGTATTAAACATGCACAGCTGGTTTGTGTACAGGTTTTCCATTAATTAGTTAATAACTTGTAGTTGTAATAAATTTATATTAATTTATTTAACTACTATCACTCATGCCTACCTAATTAGAAATTTTCTAATTCAGTTGCAATCTGTTCAGTTGGCTGCAGCACAGAATTATATTAATACTGTACGTTCATGAACATTGTGAACTTGTTCATGGAGATATACTGTATTTTAATAACTATATTTTTATGGTTATTTGAAGGTCAGTATTGTAAATATGGGCAGGCTGTTTTAAGCCCTGCCTAGACGACCAAATTTTATTTGACAAAAACTGTTGAATGCCCATAAATAGTCATAATGACGAGAGGCGAATGGCCGAGCAGTTAGCAGAGGCGCCGCAACCTAAAAGCCATAACATCGGCGCTGGTTGGAACGGCTCGCTCGCCTATGGTTCTGGTGGTAGAACAAGTCTTCTTGGATACGGACTATAAACCACAGGCCCAGTGTACACTTTGGCTTGTGCGCACTATAACTCAGTACATCGAGATGAGTAGGGGATACCCCGATGTACAGGTACTGTACAAGTGGCCCCTGGTTTTGTCAACTTGCACCAAGTTACCGTATCAGGTAGCAAGACACGAAGGGACCCTTAGGGAAGAAGAAATCCATTGATCGAGTTCTTAGTCCACATACAACAGTATCCAGGCGCTTTGTATCCACTGGCAAAAAGCGCCATACAAATTTCTATTTAGATTTTAATGCGCCTATATATGGTTATGATGTGATGTCAATCATATTATATATGTTTTATCAAACAAAATCTGATAATCCAGATAGTCTAAAGAAAATGCAATACCCTTGCTAATATTCAATACCACAGATTTCACAACAAGTTAGTTCCAACTGTGTTGACAACCTTATCAATAATTTTGCATTCCTGTCTCTACTGAATAAACACGTTTTATTAAAACATACAGGTTTAAATTAAGAGATGAGTATGCGACACCTCAGTTAAGTACCTCCCTCTTATTTTTACATTCAATTGGTAAATACTACGTGTCATACCATACACTGATCAACAGATCAACTTTAACGTAAGCAACAAACATTTCTGAACAGGTGTTAGCAGTATTTCATATTCTTAGCCAGGATATCATAAAATGCAATAATTCCGACTGAGGTGAAATAACAATAATAAAATATTAACAACAATAGAAATTCACTTTCACACATCCACAGTGTTGTTGGACAGCATGAGACTAGTAACAAATCCGTATCACATTGTTGTCATTAATTTGGAGAAATTTCAACATTCATATCGACCATGTGTGAACTTGAGAATGCCTGGAAATTCACATAGCAAGAGAAGATGCTTATCTATCTCTGTAATGGTTAGTAAATTTAGATGACCACCACGATACCTTTAGGAATAAATGCTAAGAGTGTGCTTTCACAGTTATCATTATGAAATGTTTAAAACTAATGAGGGTCAATTAAGTTTTAGAACTTAATAAATTGGGGAAAAACATTACTAATTGACCAGATGTTGTGCATTAACAGTTATTTTTTGAACTTGGATGAACGTAAGCCAACTAAATATCGTAAAGGATTTATATTCTAAATCTTCATTACATTTTATTTAGCAATTACATGAAAAAAAAAAATCAAAAATCACTTAATTAAAACTACCAATAATGGATCCAGGAAATTGAAATAAAGAGTACTCAAATAGCAACTTTAAGATGTGTTTTTTCATTTTTTACAAATCAATGGGTTTGTTTTATTATTTTTTTTTTTTTTACAGATAAGGACCTCATCAAATTTGAAAATGAATTAAAAAAAAAACATTGTTATAGTTGCTTACTGTACACC